TTTGAATGATATACAGGGTTAGTCCCCAGGGGTCATCCCGACCCCCTGCCATTTGAGAAAGTTCTAATATCTTGTAAATGGTTGAGATCCCCACCCCTAAACCATATATATTCTGGTTTGTCATGCCAAGATGATTTGAATGATATACAGGGTTAGTCCCCAGGCATCACTAATGCATATAACTTTACTGGACCAAACCAATTTTCACTGGATTTGCCCAATGTCAGGCGACCCTGGGAATTAAGAATTATGGGAGCTTCGTTTGGGAGGCTTCGTAACAGCATCCTGTAACAATCATTTCTTGTTCTTAGTGTGTTTATATTTTAGTTCGTTAATAATGGTTTTTATGAAAATAGTCTTCAGAAGGAGGATCTGATAGGGGGAAAATTGGAAACAAATGACGAAATGCTGGAAGTAATAACTGAGATTTTTTTTGTATTAGAAATATTATCCATTATTGTAGATTTTTGTTAACGTGTTGAGTATTTGGATAATATATTGAAAACAAAAATAAAAAGAGACACATAGAAAAAATAAAAATTAAAGATTGCAAGCAAATCTATTGATTGATTAATTGATTGGTGTCTAACGCCACTTTCATCACTATTGTGCTATTAAGTGGCAGTCAGTTTTTATTGTTGATGAAGCTGGAGTGTCTAGAGAAAACAACCGACCTTCGGTAGGAAAAGCACGCCAATTAAGGTACATAATAATTTGAACGGTCTTCAATATTTCGATTTAAAAGCTATATGATCCGGAAACTTAATTTCACTTTAACGCACTTGAAATGTTTGTAACTGAAAGGAAACACTTATTTCCTTAAAAATATTTTATAATCACGAAACAAAAAAATCAGCAATTAACCATCCGATGGGCATCTAATTTTTTGGCGACGGTGGAAATTTTTTCCCTTTTTTGGGGTTCTGGTAATTTAATTGCTTCTTTGTTATTTTCATAATGCAACATGTAATGTGCATCAAAAACGCCACTTTCGTCATTTATAATATTGCAGTCCTATTTCTCAAAAGAAAAACACACATTTAATCCTGATTTTATGAATATTTTAAAAACTGAAATGACTGGTACATTGTTAACAAATATAAGAAGTCATTCAAAAGCATTAATTGCTACAATATTTATTAAAACTGTTAATGAGCCCTTTGGTTTTCGAAGTGTTTATCTTGTTTCTGTATTTTAATATTGACATTATCGGGTTAGTTCTTGAGACATTTGCAGGATTCTTTTATCCGTGATATTAAATCTCATTTATTGATTTTATCCTGCATATTTTTAGTCAACATACATATGCAGCATGATTGTCACCCAGTAAACAATTCCACTGGAATTTGTGTTTAGGATATAGAAATAAGAAATTGTGATATGAGTGGCAATGAGACAACTCTCCATCCAAGTCTTTTACTTACAGCGAAATGTGGACTTTTGCTTTGTGTTGAGAGCTTGGCTTTATCCTTTTTTCAATTACATTTAGGAGTTTTATGACAAAAGTGACGTCACATGTATTTTCTTCTTTTTAATTTAAGAAAGCAACGTTGATGAAAATCATGAAGCGCAGCTTGGACATGTACGTGTTTAACCAAAAAAAAAAAAAAAAGAAAAAAAAAAAAGAAAATTAACTAATTAATTTTTTTTATGGTCTGAATGTTTTTATAAGGAATGTACAAGCTGATGGCTTCGTTCTTCAGTATATTTTCAAAACCGTTATGAATATGTCATTAAATAACCTATTAAGCAGATAATGAAAATCATCCCCAGATCCCTCAGGTTTTTCAAAATCATATGATACATATGATAAAAAATGGCGAAAAAGTGACAGAATACGTACAGGTAATGACAGAAAACGTATTTACGATACTAAATATCCAGAAGATCATCCTATATAACGTCAGTGGAAAATTTTGTTGGAAGCGTCGAAAACTGAAAAAAGTAACGATTATATACATACATGAATACTATTCTTGAAAATGACCTCAAAATTATAAATAGGTGACAAGAAAAGGTTCACCTTTTATTTATCAAAACGTAAGTTATAATGAAATTACATATTCATACTCCCGTATCAACGGACATTCTTATATTACACCGTGATATTATACTGTTCCTTTGTCTGTATCTATTCACACGTAAAACAAAAGTTAAAGAATTATTTGTTCAATTTCCTGAAATTTGTATAGAATATGTTAACTGGTCGAAGAAAGCTGTGGTTCAATTATAGACACTTTTCGATTTGCTGTTACAAATTTCCTAGATTTAACCATCAGATTTTAGGCAATACTTTGTGCACTCGTTCGAATATGCATCGATTTATTTACTTCAAACTTCACATTACATTATTGTTGGAAGCGGTTGAAGTAAGCTCTGATTTGCTTTTTAAGAGTTATTGGAATTCAGCTGTCAAACAAATGACAATTTATTTTCACCTTAGGATATGATTTTTAAGTTTTCTGCAGTGCTATTTACTGCTTTTCACAATATTTTGTTTTTATTGCACTATTAATTTTTTTCATTAGATTTATCTGTTGTTTAGTAGACTTTGGATTTATTTATTATTCGCGGGTATCAATAGATTGAAAAAAATCTACGAAAATTATGAATCAACAGTAACCTATAAATTGTTGTTATATAGACCTATAGTATTGCAGTATTTTGTTCATTGGCATGAAACTGAGATCAAACTCAAAGATCAGACTCATGTTCTAAAACATCTGCTTCAAAATTTGAAATAAGCTGTTTTACAGTATACTTATTTAGATATGGGGTCTTTTGATATGAAATGATTGTCATATTACCATGAAATTGAATCAGTTTAAAGGTCAACGTTCACGATTGGTTTCTGTATCCGATTTTGATATTCCTCTAAAACTGTAAGAGATGTATCAAAAAGTATAAATAAATGAAGAAAATCGTGGTTCAGAATACACCGGAAGTAACTATTTTTGACCCTTATTTTCTTATACACAGATGTGAATTTGAAGTCAAGACAATTTTTCATGAACATTTTTTAATATATGTCTTTTATTCTTTTGTTCTGCCACATTTTAAAGAATGATCCCTGTAAGAGTGCCAGATATATAAACTGGATGTCTTGGACAAGATATCGATATATCAATCTCTAAATAACCTTGTCAACATTTCTCTCCTGAAAAGCGTCGAATATCTTTATCTTAAGAATTGGTGCACGCCACATATTATTGGAAGCAATATTTCAACTTATAAAAGAAGTAATCATTCCTTGAATATTTGATTAAATTGAATGTTGACGTAACATAAAAAAAAAACCCCACGTAATTCGTAAAGACCTAAGGTCATCTAATTTAATAGATAGGAGTGATTGCTCCTTGAAATATTGAATTGTCTATCTATCGATCATTGTTTTACTTTTGCACACAAAAAAGCAGATAACTGATTTTGATGAATATTAACCAAAAATGCAAAACAGGAAGTCATTGGTTTTTGCTCGTATTTCAAGATAAAATGCATTGCATCATACTTTATAGTATCTGCCATTCAATGGCACCGGGAGTGATTTTCTATAAACCACAAGTAGCGTATGATTGCCATTATTTAAAAAAAAAGTATCAAGCAACACTTGACTTTTAGAATGAATATAATGTATCCTTTCATACAAAACAGAAAGTTTTATTTCATTAGAAAATACCTATAAAGAATACAACATATAAACCATAAGTTTGTTTAAAATCAGTGTTAAATAAAGTTTCCCATTAAATCATTTCTTACATTTCGAAAACTAGAAGTTGTTTTTTGCATTTGTTGAAAAGAAAAAGGCCGTACTTCATATATAGTGTAATTGAGCACGTGTTTTACTGCCGGTTTGTAGAAGATCAACAGATGGCCATATTTCTAAACCCTAGTCAGTCTAGTGATAGATGTTTCAAAAGATCATATATACGATCTTTATGCCGGAATTACCGTCTCATCTCTTTTTTTCCAAAGAAAAATGTAAACTAAGGTAACAGCTTAGTTCTTTTGAACATAAACTAACCCCATTGTACAAAAAGAGCCGGATACTTTTAAAAAAGAAGTAAGTGATAGAAAAACCAAAAATGAAGAAAATGAATAAAACATCAAGTTTAAACTTCAACTATGTGGTCATTACTAGGAAACTATTTGATTTGTCATAGAAATCAAATGACTTCACAATGTTCACGGCGGCTGGATTTCTTGAGATATAACATAGATAAATGGAAATACAAAACAGATCAAGTTTACCTATGTCAAGCCGGAATAACTATTTTCAAAACAAAAACCTAGCAAATCAATCGACAAAAAAAAAAAAATTAAAAAAAATTAAAGTGTTATGAAGTGGACATGAAATAAAAAAAAAAGGAATAAACAAATCATGGTCAGCACAAATATTTTTTAATAGAGCTTAAGGTGGTTCATCACATTACAGGAAGATATCTCTGTAAAAATTAGATGAATATTTTAATCATGTTTTAATGTTATGGAAATTTAAAGCTTCTCAATAATCAAAATAAGTGTTTTTCAAGCAGCTATATATTCATTGAAATGTTTTCCGATAAAGTGTGTGGTTCAATTTTTTTGAAATTTTTATACTTTTGTCAAAGGGTTAAAGTACATATTTTGTCAATATCAAATGGATATTACATGAGCCAATATTGGACCAGGTGTTTGGTACCACCTTAAGCATTAGCCGACCTCGTTAAAGATTAAATTAATGCATTTGACAGCGAGAGTTTGCAAGTAAGATGACATAACTGAAAGGTCAACATATTTGTAGGATGAAATGTTTTTGGATATGATACTAAAAATTGAATATAAGTTTTTAAAGATGTAACTTGGATAACAGATCAATTAAAAAAACGAGAAGTACTTTCTATATGCCTAGTGAAGGAATAGCTTTGAAGTCTTGTTAATTTGATAAGAATTGAAGATAAAGCAGTATCACATGTTTGTTCCGTCCATAATTGTACGAATATATACTTCTATTTCCTTGCAGAATGAATACAACTTGTGGGTACAGAAGTTGGATGATAATTGAATTTTTGTTCTATTTAACAGGTAATACTTTATATATTTAATTCTTAACTTTCGTTTTATTTACCTTCTTGTGTCCATCACACACTTTACTTTGAAGAGACTCATTACATTCAAAATTATTTACACAATTCGCTATAACAAATTAAAATGTTGTTAGAGTATACCTTAACTCAGTGTTTGATATATGATTGTTTGAGAATCTATAATAAAAACGTAGGTATACAGAAAAAGACGAAATGACAAAGCAGTATTCCGTAAACTCACTATCAATTAAAATTATATTACAGAAGCGTACAGATGTATTTACTATTCGAAGGGGTCAACAGTGTTATTGAAGTGTTCATCATATTTTGAATGGATGGAATGGATTGGACCAGCACACACACAAACATTTCCTGGAAGATCAGTTATTACAATTGATGAAAATCGTAGAATGTGGAAAGTTACTGCATATACAGAAGGACAATTAATTGATCCTACTCTGCCTCATGGCAATAGGTTAAAAGTCATTAAAAGAGTACAAGCACACGAATTTGATCTTCAGATCATTAATGCTTCAAATTTGGATGAAGGTCCCTACTTTTGCGGGAATGTAAAGTCTTTGTATAATTTTCATAGATACCATTTATGGAATGTATTAAAAATGATGAGTAAGTGAATAATGAAGAAAGTTGTCAGTTGCATTAAAGAAAACCAAATTGTAGTTGTACAACCTGTTTTGCGATGACTATAATCTCAAATAACAAAATGAAAATTTACAATTTCTTTCCAAAATATTTCTAATCTTGTATATTTGAAGTAAATATTTCGATACTGCTTCATTTAATTTTGTTTATTTCAAAATACATATCTTTAAGAAATACTTACCAATTCTTTTAGCAGTTTTGCCAATTTTGTTCGGTTTTCATATAACCCCTGCAATATTAAGACTTCAAGATTTTTGGTTTATACAGGTTATAGTGGTCCTTGTGAATGTTAATAGGAAAATGCGTTTGGACGTATCAATTGTATGAGTGCTTAACTTTATTTCGTATTTTTCTATACCACTGCTGCTCTCTAAATTAAAATGAACATTCGTGAATCAGATGTAAGTAATTATATACTACTTACTTGAATTTCGTCATTCATATACTTCTGTACTTAGTGCACATATAGCCTATCTATACAAATCCCTTTTTTATTTAAAAAAAAACTCTTGATTATGGACATCTCTGTTGCTTTTGTTTGTCAAACGCTGGCCTTTGAGGATGACGTTAGTTAAAGAAGAAGGGAAATATAGTATATCATTGTATATGGTAGGACAAATACACAATTCAGCATAATATGCAGCGTTTAAAGTTGGAAACCTTTATTGTTTTATCGAAACACACTGAAACTGTGAAGACTGGCAAATATGGAAGCCTTCAGTTTACATTCACACAAATAATATTACACAATCACGTAAAATATATGTCTGAAGCAAATAATTCATTATTAAAATACCCATTGAAAAAGACTTTTCAATGTTATTGTAAAGCTACCTATTCAAAGCGTTCTGGGAATCAGATGTGAATTCTAACAAATTCAATAAATCTTTTAAAGTACATACAATCTAAGTCTCCTTCATCTTGCAACAGTAAAAAAAGAATTGACTTCCCTATTCGTTAACACTATTTTATTTCATTTTAAACTTACTGTTTGGTTGGAAGAATAAGTCCTGCCTATTTTATTGATTAATTTATTGATTGGATAATGATAAACGCTTCTTTCATTAACAACAATTCCATCATCTTGTCCTTGATTATGAAATTACCGAATCATAACCAACAAAACCAACACCGGCTGGTGTCACTAGTTTAATAGGATCTGCCTTCCCTTCTAGAACACCTGAGAATAATTCAAATGTTTGGTGGGATTTAAGTGTCCAAGCAAGTGTATATTGACTATTGAGTTCTTGAATGGCCACTAAGTATCATATTTGTTTTCTTTAAATATACATTTAATGTAAAAACACTGCATAATAATCATTCCTAGTTCAATGATGGATTTGGCTCTTATTTTTAGGTTCGTTTTGGTCATTTTGCTATTCGCCCGTTTCGGTTCTTCTTCATCATTGACTTTGAAATATTTGGCTTTGAGAGTTTCAGTTGAATTTAATCCAGAAAGTCATTTGAACGGATGAAATATATGAAGAGTTGCTATTATTTTCAAATACAACCTTCCTCGAAAGTTTATTTTGGAATTGGCTTTTTTGTATGCCTTTATTTTGAACAAACTATTGTGTGTATTTATTCAAATACTGAATTAGGTGCAAAAACATTGTTCCTCCAATTCGAATTGTCCTTTGTTTGTTTCTCGAAATGTATGTTCTATTGAATGAAAAGCTTTTTATCGTTCTAATTTCATGTGAGTAGATAAAAGTACTTACCAATTCGAATTTAATGTACCTCATAAAAACTAAGAAAATAATGGGAATACAAGTTGTCTGAAGTTCCAACAAGTGAGAACCTGAAACCATTTTATTTTATTTCATATTTTAGTCTATCTTTAATGTAAACATGAGCATTTGCATTTACAAATACATGATGATAGAATGATATTTCATAGTTTTTGTTTTTATTTTGTTTAATTATTTGTAATTCAATTTAGATAAACCAGTAGTTTCAAGCATGCATAACATGATTGAAGAAATAAATGAAGGTGAATTAAAGAAATTATGTTGTTATGTTGAAAGCAATGCAACAACAACGAAATGGTTGAATGGAAGTCTGGAAATATTTGTTACACATAATGTTACAGAAATTTGTTACACAATCGAAAAAGTCAGTCGATACGATCATGGAAACTACACATGTATAGCCGAGAATATTGTTGGAAGTGGATCAGTTTCTGTTGTTCTTAAAGTAAACTGTAAGTCAACAATTATGGAATGTGTTCTAAAGAATAGATTATGATAAAGTTATACATGTTATAGTAATACAAAACAATTGATATCATTTTGTTCTATAAGAAGATCTGGTATGATTACCAATAAGAAACCGAACAACGTAAAAGTTAGTTGTTCAAAACATCTTTAAGACAAATGCTTCTTTACAATTTAAGTTTTCATTGTATTTTCGTTTCTGAAATTTTCAACTTCAACTTCGTATTTGATTAAATAAAAATCAGTCGATATGACCAAGGAAGCAACACGTGTAAAGACAACAAATTTATTGGAAGTGGATCAGTAACTATTGTTTTTTAAATTAAAATTTAAGTTTATAATAAGTCGATGCATATTTAAACATGAAACATTACATTTAATAAATTCTTTATGTATATTCACAAATATCAATGAGGTACACAACCCTTATTACAGTGGTTTATATTTCTAACTAAATTCAAGAAATTATATTCAAGTTGCATAATGTTCTTTAATCATCTGCTAGTGCTATTTCCTATGTTTTGCTCTTCAGTCAGAATGAACGAATGTTGTCGATAACATCAATAATTGTTTAGTGGCGTTCACGTAATGGAAACGTTCGGTAGCCTTATATATTACGGAATGTAATTCGTGAAAATAATTATTTTCGGTAAAGTTTTAGATTGAGTAATTTGCATTCATATATATATGTTGTGTACAAGTTATCATTTTGTACAAATTATAATTTGTACAAAAGAATTGTACAAATTATAATTTGTATTTTGACTTTGTACAAATTGTAATTTGTACAAAAAGTGCCTGTACAAATTACAATTTGTACAAAATTCGACTAAAATTCACTTATCACTTGTACAATAATTTATAGTATGGATCGTGTTATAAAAAATAATTGATATACACTATAGAACATAATAAACTGTATTTACAAAATGAAAAAAATCCCAGAGACAGCAAATGTAATTGGTACATGCATGCCAGTTAATTCTTATAGCCCAATAGAAATAAGCCCCTGTGACCATTCTGATAGATTAATAAAAATTGGCCCCAGTGACAATTCTGATAGACTTATAGAAATTGGCCTCATTGAAAATTCTGATAGTATAATAGAAATTGGCCCCACTAAGAATTCTGATAGTATAATAGAAATTGGCCCCACTAAGAATTCTGATAGTATAACAGAAATTGGCCCCTGTGATAATTCTGATAGAACAATTGAAATTGGCCTCAGTGAAAATTCTGATAGTACATGTATAATAAAAATTGGCCCCACTAAGAATTCTGATAGTATAATAGAAATTGGCCTCATTGAAAATTCTGATAGTACAATAGAATTGGCCCCACTAAGAATTCTGATAGTATAACAGAAATTGGCCCCTGTGATAATTCTGATAGAACAATTGAAATTGGCCTCAGTGAAAATTCTGATAGTACATGTATAATAAAAATTGGCCCCAGTAAGAATTCTGATAGTATATAAGAAATTGTTCTCTGTGACAATTCTGATAGAATAATAGAAATTGGCCTCTGTGACAATTCTGATAGAATAATAGAAATTGGCCTTAGGGACAATTCTGATAGTATCATAAAGATTGGGCCCAGTGACAATTCTGATAGTATAATAGAAATTGGCCCCAGTGCAATTAGGATGACACTGATGCTGAATTAATGAAGGGTACCAATTTACTTTCTTTGTTAATCGAACATCATTGGGTATACTGGCTAACAGATCCAAGACAAATAACCATGAAAACGAAACAGAAATTATCAGAACTTGCTAGGGGGTATAATGTCAGTATGATCGTACCATATCTGATCCTCGAAATATCTTATGTGTAATAATTGAATCTGGAGAATTTGGGTACCGCATTGGGACTGCTGTAGAAAATTTAATAATATATTTCTCGAGAAATCAGATTGGAGCTTTTTAAGACAAATCTTTTTTCACAGCAACGGTTTTTGCGCTTCGACTTCGCTACGTGAAGCAGATATGGGGCAATATGAATATAAAAAGCAGAAGACGTTGTGCAATTCCTAATTCATAATTCACTCACATGCTCAAACAAATGATACAGAACTGTTTCTGTATTTTGTAAGGTTTATTGCGTGGTCATGGAATACAACTTCTTTGGTGTGTATCAATGCTTTTTTATAACAAGATCCATACCATAAATTATTGTACAAGTTATAAGTGAATTTAAGTCAAATTTTGTACAAATTATAATTTGTACAAGCACTTTTTGTACAAATTACAATTTGTACAAAGTCAAAATACAAATTATAATTTGTACTATATTTTTGTACAAATTATAAATTGTACAAAATGATAACTTGTACACATCATATATATTTATATATTCTATCCATGCAATTTCACATTCATTCTAAATGTCACAATCAGACATCGGGAACAAACGGTTACGTTACAAATGTCTATAGCAATATTAAAAAAAATCGTACCACATTTGTAATTGTTTTGGAATTTCAATTATTTCAAATAGACAAGCCAGTGGTTTCATACCTGCAAGATATTATTGAAGAAATAATCGAAGGCAAAACGAAGAAATTTTGTTGTGTTGTTGATAGCAATCCATCTCCTATATCGACAAGATGGTTGAATGGAAGTCATCAAATATTGGTTACACATTTTGTTAAAGAAACTTGTTACACAATTAACAACGTCAGTCGATATGACCATGGGAACTACACATGTATAGCTGACAACATCATTGGAAGTGGATCAATTACTACTGTTCTTAAAGTGAAATGTAAGTTTATGAACATTAATTTAAAACTCGTGCATAGGTATTGACATTTAAAACTTAAAGTGATTTAAAAAAGAAATAAATCACGAAAAAAAATAGTGTATTTTTAATCCTGTTAATTACATTGTAGTTATCAGATTTGTGACATCTTCTAGAAAATCTTTCTTGTAAAATAAGCTTTAAATAAAATTGAGAATGGAAATAGGGAATGTGCCAAAGAGACAACAACCCGACCATAGAGCAGACAACAGCCGAAGGCCACCAATGGGTCTTTAAAATACGTTTCTGAACATGTCTGCACTTTAACTTTGAAAACATATTTGTACATCAATGCATACTTACGTTTGAAATATCAGCAGCAGAAATCATATGCGTACTTTAAGTACCTTTGCATTCAAATAACGTATTCCTCATTTCGTGACCATGAAAACGACGGTAATATTAGTTACCTAATGTAAAAAGAAGTGATAATCTTACTGGATGACAGTATTTCATTCGATTATTTTAACCTTCCTTTATAGTACACACGAGAACTTAAATTTAAATATTATATAACTAAACAATTTACAAACATATTTTTGTTACATTTTTGACGTCCAAAATAGATAAACCTTTGGTTTCAAGCATGGATGATTTGATAGAAGAAATTAATGAAGGTGCAAAGAAGAAACTGTGTTGTTTTGTCGATAGCAATCCAAGACCAACATGTACGAAATGGTTAAATGGGAGTCAGGAAATATTGGTTGCGCTTAATGTTACAGAAACTTGTTACTCATTTGAAAACGTCAGTCGATATGACCATGGGAACTACACATGTATAGCGGAGAATATCATTGGAAGTGGATCAATTACTACTGTTCTTAAAGTAAATTGTAAGTGCATAAATAATAAATGAAAAAATATGCATAGAAATTGACAGTAAAAATATAAAAAAGCTACCAGTTGACATATCAAATTATTCAAATTCGTACACTAGTTGGCATTCAATGTTTCATTCGAGCGTTATTGATGAGTCTTTAGTAGTTGTCTGGCATACGAAAATACAATTTGGTATATTTGATTTGTTCTTTTTTGTATCAAAATCCGAAAGGGAAGTTGGATTTTCAAAACAGCAATGGCACAACATTTGGTTCACCAGATGCACATTTCGGCAATTAATTTCTATACAATGTTGAAAAATTGTATAATAAACATAATTTACCCGTGAAAAAAATTGTTTCAGAAGGATATCAACAATCAATTCCGAATTCCCAAGGGGAAATGATTATCATCTTCTATCTTTTCAAGTTATTTAAGATAGATGATTGAATTAATTCACAAAGGAGAGTGTCTCTTGTCATTAGTATGCGTGACTTCGGTATAAAAGTTTTTAACACACATTATTGAAAAAATAAAGACTTTTTCGTCGTAATTTGCCACTTTTGCAATTAAAATATTGAACTCAGAAATAAATCTACCGCGAATAATTCAAATGGCAAATTTTATAATTTATAACAAGAAGAAAGGAACGTTTATAGTTTATAGTAGGAACATCGTACATGATGTAATACCAATCAGATACTAAACGACTTATCCATTTTCTCTGTTTTCGCTGACAAAAACTTTTTACCATAGATTGTACCTCATTTTCTAGATAATATGAAATGTTTGAAATTAAAATAAACTTACCCTTTCAAAACCAATGAGATAACCTTTATGTTTTTCATGGGTCAATTTTGTATAATCTTCAGTGTAGTATTTTGAAAACTTTTGTTTTTGCCGTCTTTATTCTTTGTCCATGATTTGAATCTTAATCAAAAGAAAATCAATCAATTAATGGTATTATATAACGGTAACTTAATTTCAAATCAAGCGAGAACCTGCCTTATATATGTAAAACATGTATTATTTAGATATGTTTCTCTGACATAACTGTACACCTAGGCAGAACAATACAGCTTAAAGCTGAAGTACCCCATTATACCCTGAGGCGAAGCCAAAATGAGTTCAGGGTACTGAAGGGTGTTAGGATATCAATATCCACGGACCTGAACGTAGATAACAAAGGTATCACCGGTTTTAGTCCGAATCTTGCGATTTGAAAGGAAATTTGTACACAAAACATGACAAAGTGTAACGTGAAAGCAATTTATGTTTTATTATTCGAAAAAGTTTTATTGAAATTTGGAAACCTGACATCTGTGAAACTAGAATAAATCATATTTGGCGCTTAATGTCACTAGTGTTCCGTCAAAGTGGGTCATTTGCATCACTTGGTCAGTAACACCGTTCATTGAGGATGTGGAAGCAAATTTAAATACAAACATCATTGATAATCTACAGAATTCGATTTTTTCATTTCATAGATTTTTTTTTAAAGATATTGCTTTTAAATACGACTAAACTTTGTCTGTTTTCTCATTCTTCTAAAGCAGTTTTACTTACAAATTTGTACAGAAAAAACATTATTGCGTAAACTTTGTGATATCGGCTGCACAGATCACCAACTTAAAATACGTTTGGATTCCAATACTAGTATAGTGTCTATCAGAACTTTAGCAAAAATATTGATAGTAATATTAGTAACCTTCTTATATAACCCTATATTCACTATTCACACCAACAGTTCCATTTACAATATATGATGGTAAAACTATTTACAATTCTTTTTGACGTTTCAAATAGACAAACCATTGGTTTCCATTTTGTATGACTTGATTGAAGAAATCAATGAAGGGGAACAGACGAAACTTTGTTGTTATGTTGATAGCAATCCAACACCAACATCAACGAGATGGTTGAATGGAATCAAGGAATTATTAGTTACTCATTACGTTAACAAAACTTGTTACACAATCAAAAGGGTCAATCGATACGACCAAGGAAACTACACATGCATAGCAGAGAATATCATTGGAATTGGATCAGTTTCTATTGTTCTAAAAGTAAAATGTAAGTGTATAATGAACAATAAATGATTAACACAGGGACAATGACATTGCAAACATCAGGTAGTATGAAAAATTCATATACACTGGTGTCACTAGTAAAGGAGGGTCTATTCACCCTTCCGAAGGATATGAGCAAATCCTTGGGTTTTTGTAATGGTAAATTTTGATAATTCCTTAGCTTTCTGTGTAGTGTTTTTTTCTCTCTGTCATTTTGTCGTTTTTATCTTTGCCATAAAATTGTTTGTATTGTTTCAAATTCAGCTTTTGGATTGTTTACTTTGGTTCTTTTGTCCCTTTTGCCCACAGTGTACAAAGGTCCGTAGGCTATTATGTTTTCGACCCGTCCGTCGGTCTGTCAGTCTATCGGTTCGTCACTCCGCAAGTCCGTCCGTTAGTACTGATCTTGTCATCGTAACTCCTCTGTCACCACACAACAAAATTTCATGAAACTTTGTAGATAATAAGCTGATAAGGAAATAATTTGAAGATCTACATATCCACAAGTAATCTTTACAAGTTGACTTATGAGTAAGGAAGCTTTCAAGTAAGGCATCTGGTTAGATTTTGTTTACCAAGTGACAATGTGGGGCGTTGGGTATGTAAGCGTGATCACAAAGGTTCTTTAATTTTGATAGTGTGGATATCTAATTCAACAATGTCTTCATCGGAAGCTTTTTTAATGACTCCAATTCCGTATTCAAAGTATGAACGTTAAACAAGCAACAATCATCCAATCAATTGTATGTTAAAGATAATTGATGTTTAAACAAGCGATAACCAGCATAAATATAAAATTTATTTCGATATTATAACCATCCTTTAATTTGCAACTGGGGTTTACATAGCAGTTATTTTAGTATAACAATATGCAATTTGATCACTTCTAACAAAAATGTTTATTTTTGGTGCCTTAAATAGATAAGCCTGAAGTTTCAAGCAGTCATGATTTGATTGAAGAAATAAATGAAGGTAAAACGAAGACACTTTGTTGTTATGTTGATAGCAATCCAATACCTATATCAACGAGATGGTTGAATGGAAGTCAGGAAATGTTAGTTACACATAATGTAGCAAAAACATGTTACACAATTAAAAACGTCAGTCGATATGACCAGGGAAACTACACATGTATTGCTCATAATACTATCGGAAATGGATCATTTACTACGCTTCTGCAATTTAAATGTAAGTTTGTAATCATTAAACACACGAACATAAACATTTTATACAAATAAACTAGCTATTAAAAAAGTATAGTAAAATAACAGAATGTTCTTGAATCAGAAATGACAATTGTCTTATATCCAATGAATTGTAACAACAGAAAAACTTTCTCCAATATATGTGTTATTACATATCCTTACATGAATGCAAATATTGTGATTAAAAACTACAAGATGACCCTTTTATGTGACGAAGATTCTTCGCAGATGCAAATGTAGATATCAACATGTTTGACTGTGTGGTGTTACGGAATAGGAAAGGGGCTAATTCTACACGTGAAAATGTGTTTCTAGCTTGTTTTGGGATCTTTGGGGCTTCAGTTATATTAATGTTTGTTTGTATTAAACAAATTGTACTGAAAAGTAGAAATGCAGGTTAGTACATTCTAAAACGGGTACCCAGTACACCTACTACTGTTTAGAAAGATGCAAATTTGATCTTTCGTTTAAAATTAGTTCATCCTTCCATGGCAACCTTTAATTTCTTTTCCAATAATAAACATTGATACAATGGGAATGTTATTAGAAAATTAATCAGAAATACTTTTGTTAAGTAATTATCTTTTAGATTTTGTGTATACTCAAACTATGTTTTCTTTGTTTTAGCTAATTATTACTTTAAAGAAAAAGAACAATCTTTGCAAAATGTCGTCATAGGAGTTTTACTCGGAACTATTGCTGCGCTTGTTGTTGGGATAGGAATTCTTTTTTGTAAGTACACAATGTTAAGTTAATAGAAGAAATAAAAATGAAAAAAAAAAAAAAAAATAGAAAATAAATGAGAAAAATTTAGATCACGGTTCTAAATAAAACAAAAAAACAAAACACCCCGATGTTCAACTAAATGAACCATCTTTCCTTATTCTACTGGAATATATTGAAAGCTATAATTATATTAAAACCAAGACTTGATGATATAGATGTGTATCAATGATAAACCGTATTGTTTTGAATCTTCTAAGATTCGTTTGATAATAAAGGTCTCATTGCATTTCATCTTCTGCTTTATAGCACTTGTTGATATAGGTATATGGTTACGCGTAATGCAAGTGTTTAAAATGCAATACATTGGTGATTTCTAAGATTCTGTAAAAGAGCATTACTATATTTTTGTTTGTTTTGAAAAACGCGCTGCATAAATGCTTCATTGTAACAATGTATGTGTGTATTGTCTTGATTTTACTTTTACGTGAAAATGTAGTTCAATCTATGATTGAACTGAACATTAATCAATAAACGTATATTGATCGGCATGAAATATAATTTCAGTACATGCTAATTTATTTTTAATGTTTTGATTACAGTGCACCTCAAACGGAAAAACAAACAGAGGTGTGTATACTTTCATTTTTATTTATCACAGATATATTGATAAATTTTCAGTTCATAATATTTGTAATTTTTCTTAAGATGAATTAAAAAATCTGTCTCCATACATCAGATGGACTTGTTACATATATGGTTTTCGTTCATGTTCTGCACGTTAACGTTCTCGTTTGAATTGTTTTACATTTGTTATTTTGTGTCCTTTTATAGCTGACTATGCGGTATGGGCTTTGCTCGTAAGGTGACCTATAGCTATAAATGTCTATGTCATTTTGTCTCTTGTGAAGAGTTGTCTCATTGGCATTCATACCATCTCTTCTTTTTTATATTGTCTATAGATCTAAACAGTATTATGCTTTTATTGTTACAAAATGAAAAACCAAAGGGAAATGTCAAAATCCGTAAAGGAAGTTGGGTTCTCAAAACAGCAATGGCACAACATTTGGTTCACCAGATGCACATTTCGACAATTAATTTCTATACAATGTTAAAAAATTGAATAATAAACATAATTTCCCGTGAAAAAAATTGTTACAGGAGGATATCAACAATCAATTCCGAAACCCCAAGGGGAAATGATTATGAAAGTGGTCATTATATGGAGATATATATGATAGATGACAACATAGTGACGCCATGGCAAGGTAAGACATGTAAAAAACACAACACTAAACAAAAGTTGTCACATGAAAAAATGCTCTTCAGGTTTTAGACAGGGTATATACTGTGACATTCCCGAAATAAATTTATATCTCCTGAGCAGAGGATGAATGGAAAAAGAACACTTGCAATGCAACAAGCTCTGTAGCCATCATTTGCTGATTAATATTTAGATATTTTGACTGTCTCGTTTAGACCACAATTGATTACAATGCTCCCAAACATTTCGTACATTTAGTTACTTGCATTCGAGGTATTGAACGTATATAATGAAGGTTATTATCATGCGCACTGATATTTCACCATTCTTCATTTAGCCAATGTTTTTCAAGTGTATGAAATAAGAATATATTTTTTCATTTCGGAATTGGTATACAATTTTCTTTGAAAACTGCCCAATTATTAAACATTATTTAAACAATGTAAGTATGATTTAAATGAAGAAAAAAATCAATTGAGTATATGTTTCATATGATGTAACGCTGAACTCTGACACACTTGCTTTAAAATAAAAATATATACAGATTAAATTTTTAGCAAAAAGTAAAATCACAAAAATACTGAACTCCGAGAAAAATTCAGAAAGGAAACTCCCCAATCAAATAGCAAAATCAAAAGCTCAAACACATCAAACGAATGGATAACAACTGTCATATTCCTGACTTGGTACAGGCATTTTCTTATGTAGAAAATGGTGGATTAATATATAGCAAATATACTTAATATATGTGTTTTATTTTTCTTCTTCAGAAAACAGTAACTCGAATATAGCAGTCGAAAGAGCAGTTGTTGAAAACAGAGATATAGCTCTGGCGTCTGGAGGACATTCATCAACATCATCCGACAATGACAGTAATGCTTCGGTATATTTAGACGATGGTTATGAGCATTCATACAACACATTATTTGCAAATAATCGTGCTGAAGACGAACATGTTTATCTCAGTCCAAAAAAGACGTCAAACAATGCAAACTCAACACCTTTTGAGAACGCTGCTTGTGGGTGTTCTTTGGAATTCACAGAACAAGATTATTCGCCAGTTCAAACAAAAACACCTTGGGAAGCAATTGATGGTGAAGAAAATAATGAATCCGAAATTTAATGAGAGCGAGTTTAAGAAAACAGATAACGATTTCCGTCGGTCAAACAAATATTAACGAAAGAACAGAACAGAATACATTACTCTGTCACAAAAACCGTAAACTAAAAATTTTATCTTTATTATTAAATGGGGCCTATGTACCTATGATTCAATTGTAAATACACAACTAAATTGATCGATTGACGTCATTAATTGAGGTTTTGATATAATTGATTTATTTGATTTATTGATTTTATTTTTTCATAGATTTTAAGATCACATGTATAGTATGTAAAGTGTGTCTCAAATCTTGACTTACATCTAGATATTTCTAATGAAGATCGGCTAAAAACAAAACTGTACGACAAAATGGATGATTTCAGTTTCCCAATTGTGATCTTTACATTTTTATAAATCAACATTCCAGCAGCGCTTGCATAATTGGATTATATGCATTTTCTCGCAGTTGATACGATATTCCATAACTTGCGTTTCCTATCAAGATTTCTTTGGTAGAGGGTTGCTGCTAACATATCCATATATTGATAATGTATATGGAAGCGCCGCTGTTATCTGGAATGTTGCTGCATATAAATGAAAAGTTTCTAATAGAAAAGTTAAAACTATACCTTTTGTTATCAAATGTTATTGTCTGTCGACCCTTATTGTCAATTCCGTTATGTAAGCCAAGCTACAAAATGTATGAGGCAGACCTGACAGTGTCGTTGGTATCCCTGACTTCAAGTTCGTGAAATCAATATGTTGAACATAGTCGCCAATCTTGGAATCATGTATTGAGTAGACTTCATCTAGATAGCGGAGCATGAAGTTAAAAAATAATGGTAGCTTCTTTCCATTCTAAATAAAAACCTCATCTGCTTCATATGAACACGCTGGAAACATGACGAGCACAATTGATTCCCTATAGTTTGTCGATCGCTTGTTAAAAACATGTTTTCAAACCTTATAAATAGGTTGTCAATCAAGTACAAAATCGTCTTGATGATATCGGTTTCAGAATTTGTTTTTTCATATCTAAGGAGTTTGCATGTTATTACATAGTCCTTCATTTAATAGTCAAATTAAGTCCCTGAACACTAAGCAAAATCTTAGATTCCGAACGACCCATAGCACTGGTTAAAGTGAAAATCGATCCCGTATATATAAGTTCATTATAAAAAAACTAGCTACCGGGTAAAATCAAATAAATATAATAATTTTATGTTCATTTGTTAAATGTACATAAGACCATATGTTCATATGTGTTATCAATAATCATACATTAGTTCTGTCTATTAAAGAAATTAAAATCAGCCAAACGACTAGATAATTGGTGATTTAATTTAGATGTCATTTGAAAAATGTACATTGACATTGTAAGTCGGTTTTGATAAGTGTGCTTCAGACGAAATTATTTTTTATTATTATCAGGAAACGGATTTTAAATAAATAGATTAGCCAAGGCTCCGTGTTGAAGACCGTACTTTTATAAATTTTGACTTGGATGGAGAGTTGTCTCATTGGCACTCATACCACATCTTCTCATATCTATTGATTAGCATATGTTAATGTGTGCAACCTCTTTTAAATGAAAACAATACTTAATGATTTGAATATACATAACGTACATGTACTTGAATAGGCATTTTCCTGATGAAATCCTTAGGAAGTATAAGTTAAACGTATTCAAAGTCAAATCAGAATCGATTTTTTAATTTGTGCAAAACGTCGTTCGAATAAAATGACATAGGAAACATAATTACGAGCTCTACAGTAACAAACGGAAAAACCACTAAACAATTATAATGTAATATAAATTTAACCTTAACCTTTGAAAAAAGTATGAACGCATAATTTCGGCTGAAAATAACAAAAGGAGGAGGTTCGCTAAGGATTCAAATGTCCAAAAGAATGAAGCAATACAATAGTTTATAGATAACTGCTAATCATATGCGAAATCTAAAAAAGAATTTTGAGTTATCGTGAATAATCCTGATGATTATACTTTTAAAAGATATCATAATTCAATCCCGATCTTTGTACAAGTGGCAAAATGTGAATATTTTTACACACATTCATCAGTGAAAATATTTGCCAGATGGAAGTACCCTGTTGAACATATAGTAAAACATTGGTTTTTTTATTTGCAGGTCTCAAGACTATCTGAAAATTGACCAACAATCTATATTTCACACAAACATAAATACAATATAAAAATAGGAAGATGCGGTATGATTGCCAATGAGACAACTATCCATCAAAGTTTAAAAAAAAGTGCATGAAAGCAATTACATGCAACGGTACGGCCTTCAACAATGAAAAAACAATTTACGAAAAACAAATATGACCGACATGAACCATCGACAACCACTGAACTACAGTCTACAGACTTGGGATAGGCACTATAAGAATGTGGCGGGGTTAAAATTGTTTGTGAGCGCTCAACCCTCCTCCTTACCTGGGACAGTGGTGTAACAGCACAACATAAGAACTAACTATAAAAATCAGTTGAAAAAGGACACTAAGTACAGATCTGAGAGTACTCGCAGTTACTGATATTTAGTTCTAAGCCAATAACAACTAATAAAGAAAATAATGTATCTAAGACTAAAATTCCACGACGTCCCAAATGCTATATAGGTCTTTTATTGTGACGTCATCATGTATCGACAACAAACTGTTATTTATTTGTTTATACTATAACTATAAAATAGAATTCCATTAAGATTTTAATCAAAAGTTCAGATTTCAGTTACTAATAAGACCAAACAATATGCGGAAGGACATTTGGTTTGGTAGGTTCAGAAAAAAATATTAAAATGTAAAAAGCGAACGGACGGACGGTCGACGGACGACGGACGACAAACGCAATTGGAAGGCAAAAGTTCAATATAATATATAAATGTATTAAAAAGTCAAATGGGCTTTAAACTATAAACCAATTATGTAATACCGGAGCTAACAATGTATGATAAATAATATTTGTGAATACTAATGATTTGGGAACTATTTGTTTCTTATATTTGAGTAATTGTGTAAATATTAATTGCAAAGTCATACTTCGACTTAAGGCACGTAACACAAACTCACCCCATTTCAAGTTCAAGACGACACCTAGCACTGGTGTGAGTGTGAACTGTTTCGAGATGTCAATCCCGTTATATATATCCATTATAAAGCACAGTTACCGGGCAAAATCAACAAATTAACAAATCATAGATCACGCAGGCTATGTTAAAATTAGATACAAAAAAATTTCGATTATAAGAAACTTTAATATTTTATTTCAGGGCAGATCTCGATATTCCTCTTTTTTTCAAAAGTCAAATAAAAACTATTGGTGATATATGAGACGATAATACGAAAATTTATAAATCTTGCAATGCAATACACCTACATCTAACAGATTAACGTAACTGTATTTCGGAATACTCACAAAGTAAAAATTCCACACCACAAACATTTTTGCAATAAACAAAATTGATGTTCAACGAACTTGAATAGTCACACAATCAAACTTAGTGACAACTTAGTTTCGAAATTCCGATTACAAAATCATTAAAATCAATAATTTGACATTTAACTGTTTACAATTAACCATAGACAGAACTAAGGCCCCTCAGCTGCAAACAAAATTGGAAAAATGTTATAGCGAGCACATCAATTGAAAAAACTAAATAAATGCCAGTAAAACGCATTTTATTTTAAAAGTTAAAGAATTTTAGTAGAAATGTAAACACAGGATAATTTATATCGTAAACAGACTTCAAATAATGCATATGTCAAACGGAACATGTCACTTATGTGATGAAAATAACAATATTGAAACCCTTGAGCGTTCATTTTATCAATTTATCAATGTAAAACCATTGATAGAAATAGTTGTCAGAAATTTACAACTTTGTTACTTAAAAAATAATGAGACACTTGTTGAAAAGGATATTGTCGTAGGAACCTATACAGATAATCCAAATAATACAATTTTTAACACACTAATACTCCATTTTAAATCTGGAAATTTATTCGGAAAATACGTAATAAATGCAAATCGAAAATGTTTGAGTGAAGTCTCTTTTTCGTCTGGAAGAAAATTTCGAGGTTTGTTTTTATTTTTTTTTAATGTATACCAATAAAGATCAACATACTTATGAATCTTGAATGACTTTATAAGAAGGTTCAAGAGGTTAGGTCTATAGCGGAAAAACCACTTACACTTATACTACACAATCAATTCAACCTTAACCTTTAACGTCTATTTCCTTGACAAGTTTGAACGCGTCATTTGGTTTAAACAATATTGTATTCAATAAATAAAATCATGCTATGTAAGAAAATACGTTATAGATAATGGGATTCGGAAATACGTAACATTGCTTACTTTAATATATCTCCGAAAACGCGTCATTTCTACTAAAATTTTGAAAATAACAAAATGGCGAGGTGAACTCAGGATTCTTATTTGCTTATATAATGAGGCATTGTTTTTTTAAATTATAAATATAAGTGGATAATGTTTTATCGATATGTGTATAAGTTTAACTATTGGCTAAGTAACATTTTTCAATACAATGGACATTGATAAACCCTTATTGAAAATTCAACGAAGTGAATGGGAAAATAATGAACATTTTTTAGTCTTTTTCCATTATAATAATGACAACAAACTTTAAATACAACATTAAACCATTACAAATTTTATTCATATTTAACACAACTAGATTAAACCGCAATAGGAATACATCTGTCATTGGCTTAGACATGGTTCGATTTTTACAACGCAGTTATTATCCCTTGAAAGTAAATCAACACGTAGAAATAAACGAGACGAATCATACATCTTTAAATACTGAATACCTAAAACGGAATTATACACCATTTAAATTTCTTACATTTATTAGGGAAAAGTACTGCTTTTGTGCAATCGACATTTGGAAATTTTGTTAGCATAGGTAAATTCCATAAAGATTAGACGTGACTGATCTTCCATCCTTTAAGATATGGTATTTAAGACAATCGTTATTTTCTGAAAAATGGCATATGATCGGTGTAAAAGGGAAGGTAATACTTTTGTCTGTGGGGGACTGTGTCAACGAGATCATCGTTGTGATGGTGGCCCCACCTGGTACAAATGCACGATATTCACATATTGAAGAACATGAAAATACAAAACGACTATTTCATGCAAATGTGCAAATGTACCTTCATCGACATAAGGTAGAACCATTTGGGCCCTTTATAGCTTACTGTTCGGTGTGAGCCAAGGCTCCGTGTTGAAGACCGTACTGTGACCTATAATGGTTTACTTTTATATATTTTTACTTGGATGGAGAGTTGTCTCATTGGCACTCAAACCACATCTTCTTATATCTTTTTATTTGAAAATCAAAATGATATGCCTATTGTGGGATGAATGAAAGATAAAACATCAACTGTACATTGTAAAACGTTTAGAATGCCAATGAAATATTATCTTGGCTGCTAGATACTAATAATTGTCACATTAACCTATTATCTCCATTCAAGTTTTTTCCATCTTGGAGTTCGGTTTTTTTGCTAATACATTTTTTATTTTAATTACTATTGATTTATTCTTAATTTAGTCTCAATCTATCCTTGACCGATATTCTGTTGTTGTAGTCGTTTATGAATATGCCAATAATTTTTTTCAATTTTTTTATCTTTTTTTTATTTATCATTTTTAGTACGTCATATTTTTCCTTATAAATTCGTAGACAGATGTAACATTGACAAGTCTTATTTAAAACGACATATCAAAATGAAAGATTTTAGATACCCCCATTCAACTTACAATTTAATTTCGAAATTCGATGCAATACAGAACAGTGTTAAATTAAAAAAAGGTCAACTTTACATTTGAAAATTCATTTCCTTCAAACAGGAAATTTTATCATTATTTTTTTTTATAACTGGTGTATCGATTGAACTGGCATTTGCATCAACAAAAGGAAGTAATTGGCATATTTTGTGCAGGCTTAGTAATATCTGGTAAGTTAATGTTATGTGCAACTTTAAACAATTGAAGTAGAAAACTTACTTTTGTGATAAATTCAAGTCAGATTTCTTTTAAATGTGGAATATCAAGTCATTTTGATTCCATCCCTATAAAGTTAAAGTAAAAAAATAGGTAGACTGAGTTTAAGCCTTGTATTTTTTGTTTTTAATGGTATTTGTTCAAGTGTTCACGACATGTGTTTACTAACGAAGCTTCCTTGGCCATGTTCAATTTAAAATGTTTTGAAAATTAATTTAATTATTTTATAGAATATGGTGCATCAAGTCGTTTGATAACTTTCAAAAGAATTACTGCTTGCATCTACAAAGAGCTAGCAGTCCGGTATGCGGTTTAAATAGAACAAAAGAATTCGAACTCTTGTGTTTAGAAGGTAGAAAAGTGAAATAAACCTTGTGTACGGTTGTCAAGATGACACAAAAGTTACTTTCCGTAGAAACATTATGAATATTTGCATTCACGTTAATAAATTTTCATATTGTACAACTGTTAACAATGCAACTTGCAAACAATCGTTTTTAAAACGACCATAAGTCAAGTTTTTACGTCAATTAGGGGGTCGCCTTATAAACTGCTACTTTTTTTTGCCCGACATAGACAAAATCTGGGAAAAATTACGAATATTGAGAAATGAATTATCAATCGGTTAAGACCATTCCCAAAGTGGCACACCTAAATTTGACATTTGTACGCAATTTCAAAGTTGGGTGTTATATGGCGGGGTTTTCTCATTGATTAACGCATCGAACACACCCCGTCCTATATATGTAACATCACATGACGTTTTAGTGATAAAACTATTATTTAAAAATAATATTTGCATGTTTGATATGTTCTTTTTTCTTAAACAATAACAATTACTCCGACAGTCATAATTTCTGTATTATTTAAAAAGTTTTGTTACACATTTTGTTACACCTTAGTTATGCGGTAACCCGGATTGGTTGACCATTGTCAAGTTAAGTTTTTGGGGTAGCATAGATTTATATCGTTGTATTCCTCTTGTTTGTGTTAAACAATTGTACTTTCGGAATTATTTTTATACATCTTATATTGATCTTGTAATTTAGTTTGCGTCTTATTTCTTTGGTGTCATGTTTTGGCTATGTTTGTGTTCGATCATACAGTATTGACAAGTCGCTAATGGCGTTATCTTGTTATATCTTGTGACTCTTTGCGTCTTATTTGTTGATTGCAGTTGGATTTTTTTTTGTCATATGTTTCGATCGTACAACGTTTTAAAAGTCGACAGTTGCCCGCCGACATGGTGTGATTTTTTTTCTTTTGATGTGTTTGCATCTTAAATTGGGATTGCAGTTGTTTCATCGATTTCTTTTGTGTTATATTTTCGATACATTTTTATTCGATCTTATAGCAACTTACAATTGTCCGTCGACATAATGTGATATTTTTTTCTTTGATCGCTAATGTTATTCATAAGATTTGATTTAATATTATTTAATTTTTTTTCTTTTCTTAATAGTTTACCCACAGTCGAAAATTTGTTAGACATTAAGAGTCGTGCATACGAGATTTTGTCTTAGTTAACTGTTTTACATTAAACTAAATTTTATTATAGTTCTTCGCATAAGGACTCGATTGTATTATAGTACTTTACTTAAATAACTGTCCTACTGTTATTTGTATGTTAGTTCTTCACAACTCAGAAACAGATTCAAGAATATTAAAGTTCTTTGCATAAGGACTCACTAATATTAGTTTTTACCTTATACGGTGGCTCGATATAGTTTCAGTTTTTCTCATCATACATGCTCACTATTACAACTACTAGTAGAACACGTGTGTCTTCATATTTCATGTACTACACATACGTATATATTACTCTAGCGTGTTTTCATTCTTGTTCAAACTTTATTTAGAGCTAACAATGTCGCTACTAGTGCCCCATTATTAGTATTGTTTTTGAAAAGATTATTTTAAGGATAATTTAAAAAATAAGTCTTGAAATTGCATTTGTGTTTCATGAAGTATTCAACAAAAATCTTTTACTTATTAACCCAAAGTATGGTGAACTTCAAATCTAAACACAAATGCCTACTGTGCGTGAAATGTTAGTCATCCAATTATTGGCAGTGTTACCATAACTCATGCAAACCCTCAGATTATCTTCAATTTGGTCTAACAGTATGTTTAACATACGGTCGGATGATTGTATCTGCAATGTATGCAATATAAAAATGGCGAAATGATTTCAGGAAAACCACCATGCAAGAGACAAAAAAAACCAGACATCCATCAGTAATGTGTAAACATCGGACAACATAATCTTGAAATACTTTATATGTCAAAGTTTTTGGAAGTTATGGAGGAACATATTATTGAGTCGCCAACTAATCCCACCAAATGTTTTCTTTGCGAATCGCGTTATAAACGATCGCGGGACACGATGCATTTCTTGTCAATAACATGTAGTATGCCACATTGGTCTGAGAAAATCGCCCGCCAACGCGATCTTCTTCAAATTCCCGACTTTGACGTTATACTAATTATTTGCTTGCAATCAAGAGGAAGAATATCTTTAATTATCAAAAGAAAACAACATCTGTGAAACATGCAACAATACTCTATAAAAGCAAGCCAGGAAACAATCCCTCAACAAGGAAGCAACCATTTAACTTCAAAGGGGGGGGGGGGGGTATGGTTTTCTTGTCTGAGCTCAAACATTTTTTTTTCGCTTCCATCAATCAAATCATTTTTTTCAAAATTTAACACTATAAGGTATGGGGAAATCAGAATTCATTACATTTTTGGGTTATAAATTTTGCCTGACAACAATATTTTTTCCATCGAATTGGGGATCAGACGATATTTGTTTTGGAATAAATCTTACCCCTCCCCCTTTTTCACCTTTTGAAGTTAAATGGTCGTTCCCTTATGTAAATAACCAGCACAAAAACTTTCATTATCTTTTTTCTACATTCCAAGACGACCTTCGCACTGTTCAAACCAACCTTGAAAACGTTGTCCTGACACATACTTACCTCCATGTTATTGTCTCAAGTCTGATTATTTAAAGAAAAATATTTCAGTCTCTGCACCCAACACTTACAATCAACCAAGCCGTCGCTAACACGGTGCTTAAAAAAACAGCGGCTTGGATTAAAATTGTACTTGTAGACAGTCTTTGATAATCTGTTACAGTTTTATACAAGAGTTAGTCCTTTGTTGTTAATAATAAAAACGGACTTTTATCATGTTTTGGAAAATATCGACAATTTGCTTGATATTGACAAATCAAAAATTCAAGTCACATGGTAATTGTTGGGGATGCTTAAACCTTCGACATATTTTGTAAGTTTAAAAATGAATATACTTAGGACCTTTTTTGTGTGTTAACATTTCCGATTGACTGGCATATTTTATAGAATGTACAGCCTGTTTCATTTAAAATTTATTTTGATCATGATGATGGTCTTAAAAAGATAACGAATATTAAGCATATGTTCTTTTAACTGTTCTTGAACAGAACTCCAATCTAAAAAAAAAGAGTTCAGATGATCAAGTTCTTTGAACAAAGAGAGAGGGGAAAGCAATGGCACTGCTTTATCATCTCAGCAATTATATCACAAAAAATATAGCTTGTGTTAATAAATATATGAAGCAGAAGAAAAACAACTGTGCATCTGAATTACCATCAGTATAACAAATATATGAAGGATACATTAACATCCCTTCTGTTATGGATAAATTTGACAAATTCTGTATGGAAAAAAAGGAGACAGTTCCTATTGTGGGACAATTTTATTCATATAGATTATTTCTCCTACATATCTGTATATATTGCTTTCTATAGTTCAAATTGGAATCTCAGATTACCATCACTTTAAAACCTCTCCCCTCTGTTCCATGCCTTTGGTCGGCATATGTACTTCAGAATAATTCCAAGACATCTGACTGTCAGATGTATAGCAGAACTTCCATACAACATTTAAACGTGCTTTCAAAGTGGGGGCTTTTCTGTCAGCGTAACCGGTAGGGCATGTCAGTTGCTTGCACTAGACGAGGCTCATTACTCTCTTATACACTGTGATGTTAAGGAATCTATTCGTGAACAATCTCCATAACTTCTGGATAAAACTACTGTCTATCATCCTTTTCGACACTGCAAAAAAAAAAAAAAAAAATCAAACAAGCAATTAAAACGGGGGTTCCAACCACATGCTCCCCATACAAACGGATCTGAACACAGGACTCTTCCCCGGATCTGCCACTGGATTTATACATCAGATGCACCACACAATATATACATGTTATGATATATACTAGTATATGAAATAAAGAAAAATATAAAAAGAAAATGTTGAATTATCATTAATGTCTACGAAACCACAAGATCCTACTTAATTGACCATGTTTTCAAATCATATCAAATGTTTCCATTGGTCTTTACTTGTTGAAAAAATGTACAGAATTCATTGTTAGCTAAATTATCAATGTTCGGTTATTGCCTATTCTTTAGAGCTGTCTGTTTAACTAATGAATTGAAAAAGAGGGGATGGATATACGTATTTAACATTTGGCTATATTTTCAACATATCTAACAAATATGTGAGAAAAATTAGGTTTAGAATACGAAATATCTCTCTTATTCTGTAAACAGGTATTGTAGGATTGTTAAGGTATTTCGGTGTTTTTAAAGCACCCCCTCCCCCTTTTTTGTAATATACACCACAAAAACATTTAGTTAGGATAAAGAACCAATAACCAGTAGTCTTATAATATAAGAATTCGGAGGTTCATATCATTTACATTCAACGTTTTTATCGGTTTTTTTTTTACTATCAACCGTGCAACATTGAAAGTAAAAAAAATCCGACAAAAAACGTTGAATGTAAATGATATGAACCTCCGAAGTCTTATATATAGTCCTATAATATAAGACCTCTGAGGTTCATTTCATTTACTAGTACATTCAACGTTTTTATCGGATTTTTTTACTATCAATGTTGAACGGTTCAACATTGATAGTAAAAAAAAATCCGATAAAAAACGTTGAATGTAAATGACATGAACCTCCGAAGTCTTATATTATAGGACTACAATAACCCGGTAAATAGAATAATTGAAATTGAGTTAATTGTGTGTGAGAGGCGCTTTCTAGCAACTTTATGAGTGTGTATTATATAATGTTACAGTGTAACAAACCGTAAAAAGTAACATTATCTCCCCTGGAAATGCTTAACAACAAGACACAAAAAACTGCTACCTTTTTTTGCCCTATATCACATAATTATGAAAACACATTAGATAGATAGGGGATACTGTGGTTGTGTACATGTTTGAATGTGTAGGTGGCACACTCAGAACGATTGTCTCTAGATTTTTTAAAAATTTTCTACCATCTGTTTCCGGGTTCTCGTAGCAACACGTTTCTTTCCCTTCCAGCTATTCCTGATTATGAATTAATCTAAAACATGCATTTATCCTAAAGCAACAACTATTAAACAACTCACCTATACCAATGGGGATCGTCTAATTCCTAACTGATTCCTTTAATCGTACCTGTCCTGACGACATCCATCGTTGTCGCGTTTACCATTGAAGGTAGCGAAATTACATGATTTGACAGGAGAGCGAAATAAACAAGGGGAGCAATTTTATCGAACCGCATCCCGGCCTGCTAGTCTGGATTAACATTTACATTTAACTTTTAGTTATATAAAAAATATGGAAAAAAAATGTTGCTTTTTATGACTTTTTAGTGTTATTGTGTTAAAGTATAAAAGATAACAATTATTGATTGGATGTGCTGGAAGTCGTTTTCTGGATTTATCTTCACCAGGAACACTCTAAGCCAAATATTTTGGAGTTGACGATCTATAAGTATAAAACCAGTGCTGAGCTATATTACAAAAAAAAGAACTATACATACTACCTAAGTCAACATGCTTGAGAGAGTTTGGACCTAAGTTTCTAAATAATTCATAAATTTATAAACAGTTAATTTCAGAAAGGCATTTCATAAATTCTGTCGTTAATACTGATTTAATGAATATCCACCAGTAGCGGGAACGAACTTGTGCTATAAATATGTAAATAACACTTTATATGCTTAATGCGTCTGAAGCATTCTAAAACTTGCTGGCCCATCCAAGGACGAATCAAATACACCATATCAATTTAAACAATTATTTCAAGACGTTTCTTTGACGATTAAAGTCTAAAAGTGTAAAAAAACCTATATCATGATCAATGCTTTAATAATTGAGAAATTATGTTTATATTGGAAACCGCTTCAATCAAAGTAAATATCATTTTTCAAATTTCTTTTCAGTAATAAAGATGAAGAATTATTGTCTAACGTGTATATCATTCTGTCATATTTTACATCTCATAGAGTCTGGTAAGTATTGAATGTCATTAGATAGGACTGACAACAACATATCTAATAGCTGAAATATATGAGGAAGCAGCTAAACCAAAATTTTAATCATTCAATACAATTTCATCATTATCATATGTTTGAACAAAAATCATTCCAATACTATTTTATTCAGCAGCACTGTTTTTTTTTAAATATTTGTCGTTCGATAGTAATCCCGTAAAGTGTAATTAAACGGTAATTCCATTGTGATCTTTTCTACAGAATGGACGCTTTAGAGGTTTACATTGGGTAGATACACTTGTTTAATGTAGACGACCGCGTGTTAGACAAACATTTGATTTGTGTTGTTGTTTTGTAGTGGTTTCACACATGCATTACATATTTGTGTATATTTTCAATTTGTATTAGCTATATATAACATTTTGTTTTATGGATGTACATTATTTATTCAGTCAAAATTTGAAAATAACAAAAATCTAGTATTTTTAACATGCACGAAACCACCTGATATCAAAAATACAAATTGGGCATTCTGAAATTCATATAAATACAGACAATAGTATATATACATATACATGAAACCAGCTAGCTTCACTAGTGTCACATGTTCACTCGTTGAAGTGAAAGGGTTATCATGTTGTTTGATAATTAGTCATAATTATTTATTAAATATTTTTTTTTAAATTGGGAGTTTTTAGAAATGCAAAGGAAAAAGATGACATGAGTTGTATTTTATAAAACCTTTTGAAATTTTGGTTCCTCACTGCTCTTCAAATTCGTCCGTTAATTGGCAATTTAATCTTTTTGATTCTATTGTCACTGGCGAGACTTTTGTAGACGAAACGCGCGATCAGCGTACAACATTTTAATTCTGGTATATATATTAAGTTTAATTAATTCATGTTAACTTAAATAAAAGAACAAAAAGTCATTTCAGCCAGTTATACTTCATCACAAGAGACCATTTGTGAATGTTCGACTATCACCTCATTGCTGATAACCATTGTGTTCCTAGTAGCTGGAATGGCAATATATGTACGTAAGTACTGTTTGTATTGTAGGGAATAAAAACATTTCAAACAACCATTGGTCTATCAATCTGTTGAAATTTGGCTTTACTAAGCTCTCAGTTACACCGATTATAATTAAATAAGCAATAAATGTTTTAGAAACGTGTCATTTGTTTTTATGCGCTCATATTCGATCTGGTGAGTCAATTCTTGTTTCAATTTATTTGTATAGTGTGTACACATATTGTCATGTTACATCCCTGTTTATAATTTTAACGTTTGTAGTCTTCAGTTACACCGATTATAATTGAATAAGCAATAAGTGTTTTAGAAACGTGTCATTTGTTTTTATGCGCTCATATTCGATCTGGTGAGTCAATTCTTGTTTCAATTTATTTGTATAGTGTGTACACATATTGTCATGTTGCATCCCTGTTTATAATTTTAACGTTTGTAGTCTTCAATTTCTTGTACTTTAACTACTACACCTCTGTTTTGTGTTATGTAAGGAGAAAGGTACATCGCAACAAGTGACAATATCAATATAAGTCCAACATAATCAAAGAAGACCATAGGCTAATAGCCATAGGAAATGACCAAACGACAACAAAAAAAAAACAAAAACATTGCACGAACATATAAAAATAAAGCAATACGAACCGAACATACACACCGGGACTAAGTGAGGTGCTCTGAAAATGGTACGCTTTACCTATTCCAAATGAACAGACGTTTTGGTAAACACTAATCAGACAGCTTCCCTGTAAAACAAATCGGTTTCCATTAAGTTATTCCAACGCGAACATAAATTACCCTAGCCGTATCTATTTCTTTTTCTCGGTGTTAATGCTCTTCAATTTGGTTTTTTTATTTAGCCCTTTAACTGTGTTGCATCGAGCGCCACTGATGAGTTTAATGTAGAGGGAAAGTTCTTATGGTGTATCAAATTAATTGCCTGGTATCTTGAATTAGTTTACTGTAATGGATATTATATCTGTTAACACTTTCAATAGATTATATATAGATATAAAGAGTTAATATCTGACAAAGTTCCTGGCGTACGTTGTTCATACACAGTAACATATGGCAAGGTTATTTTCGTTTGGATTAACTCTTTTTTGTTTCTTTTATTTTACAGGATATATTAAGAGAAGCTTCAACAAGAGGTACGCTAGATATTGAATAATCCTAAAGACACTGCTTCAGTTACAATATAAATTTACTAGCTTTTCTGAGTTTTTATCAAATCGTGTCAGTTATCTTGAATTAAACATTCCTAAAACATATACTCAAAAGATGTTAAAACTACTGACATCCTGACACTTCCAAATATGATTGTCCTGTATATACAAGGAGATTTTTTTTCCTCCGAACGTTTTGAAATCAATTTTTCAACTATCAATTAATTCACATTTTGAATACAATCATTACATATAAATGTATAAGTTGTTTGATCATATCTTGGCCTATTTAGAGATTCAACTATTAACGAGAGTTTAACACGGTTAAATCCTCATGGGAATGAACATATAATACATGTATATGAGCAGTATGAATTTATAAAATTTCGATTGTAAACACTTTGCCTGACTTTACATGAGATTAATTTTGTGCCATATTAATTGTCTTCCACTCTTTGTCGCTCAGTATTTATTTTCAAGGTACGTTGATATGATTGTTTTTTTTCGTACTTTTTCATGTTTTTTCTTCTATGAAGATGCCAGTTTCTATTCGACTTATGAGTTTTGTTTTTTCTCTTTTTTTTTTTATATATATTCATTCTTCCTTTTAAAGATCATATGGAAATACTTAAATTCATGAACAAATTTTTTTTGTAATTTTTGTATTTTTCAAGATGAAACATGTGAAATTACATTTTACAGTATTAGACACAAATTAAAAAAAAATATAAGTAAAACTTGTAAGTTCTATCAAATCATAATGGTATAATAAAATATAAATAGTACAATTGATTTTGTTAATTAAATGCTGCTTCTAACAATTGCCACTTCTGATCCATTTTTATTTTTTGTGCAGGGGTTAAGAAACATACAGAGTATTTTTCTATATTAATCCAATATTTTAAATATTCTACTCCACCATATTTTGTGGGGAATATGTTCTTATATCTACATTTGTATATATAGTATTTAAATACCAACAAAATATTATTAACGGTTTTACTGTTGACAAAATCCTCAGACACACCTAAAATGACTTCTTTTGCGCTGAAAGGCTAGAAAATGGTCATAATTTCTAATCCAATCTATAATGGATAGCCAGAAATTTTGTGTAACATTACATTCCCAAAAAATGTGAAAAATATTTTCTCTGATTTCTGAACAAAATGTACACAGTTCAGTTTCTTTTAATTTACATTTCAATAAAAATGAATTACATGGTAAAATCCTATGAACAATCTTAAACTGAAAATTTTGTAAAAACGAATTTCTGGTTGTAATAAAAGGCATGGAGTAAATAGTATTCCAATCTTCAATCTGCATATTTAAATCTATTTCCCATTTATTACGGAAAGATAATGTTAACACTTTATTATCCTCCAAAAATAATTTATTGAAAAATTTACAAGATTTTGGTTCCTTTTTAATTTTATCTACCAATTCATTTTCAATATTATCCAATTTAGAGCTTCCTTCTAACATACTTTTCCATCTATTTGGAATTGCACTTATAATACCATAAAATTCTACAAAATTAGTATTGATATTATACTTTTTTTTAAAATTCGCCATATGAGAATAATGTATTATCATCTTACATATTACATCAAGACATTTTTACACTAAAGAAAAAATAATAAAGAATACACAATTTTCAATATATTTAAACTTCAAAATCATCTTGCCACCTATTTTAATGTTTGGGTTCAGCCATATGGACTGGGCCAGAATATCAGTATTGTTTTCAACTTTATACTTATTTTGCAACTTGGAAAAATTTACCAGAATGTCATGCCAAAAGGGATTGACTTTTCTTGCTAAATAAAGCAATCCATCTTGACTTAAGTGTAAAATTTTGTCACCCCCAAATTTATGTATATAACTAAGCAGCAAAACTTTCCAAGGGGAGTAATTTTGTGGGTCTAGTAATTTATACAGCCAAGACATTTTTACACTAAAGAAAAAATAATAAATATTAGGCATCTTAAGACCGCCATCACAGTGTTTGGACATTACCACTGTTCTCTTCACTTTATCTGGTTTCCCTTTCCATAAAAAATTGAAAAATATATTCTGTATCTCCTTCAGATACCCTTCTGGGGGTTGAGAAGGACAGTCAGAACTTGAACCAACATACTGTTTATCTTGGCTGTAAAATTACATAGAGTCTTATCCACGTTAGCAAGCTCAAACCATATACCCAATAGTTTGAACCTCCCAGAAAGGTTCTAAACAAGATTTTTGTCTGGCAAAAGTTTTTCCATACTACCCTTTTTTGACCCAATCCATATGGCTTCAGTTTTGTCAACATTACACCTAAGTCCAGCACATTCTAAAAATTAATCAAACAAATGTAAACATTGTTTTAGGGACTTCTGGTCACCATCCAGGACTAGGGAGGAATCGTCAGCATATTGACTAAACAAAAACTCAGAGTCATTAATTGTTACACCAGCAACATCAGGGTCATTTTTAATAGCTGCACTGAGTAATTCAAGAACTAAAATAAATAGACAAGAAGTCAGAGGATCCCCTTGACAAACTCCCCTTTTCAAAGAAAAAAATTCTGAAATATATCCGTTATTTAACACGGCACTAGAAGCATTACAGTAGCATGCTTTAATCCAACTTATAAATGTATGGTCAAAGCCATAAAACTGTAAAGCCTCTAATATAAAAGACCATTCGACCGTGTCGAAGGCTTTTTCAAAATCAACTAAAAAGTAAAAGTCCAGGAATGTCATCTTCCTCCATCTTTTCAATCAGATCATAAATAAATTTAGTACATTCGCCTATATACCTACCTTTAAGAAAACCTTTTTGTGTTTGGCTTATTATATTTACCAGCACCTTTTTTTATACTATTTGCTAGACTTGCTGTAGATATCTTATAGTCTACACATAACAGTGTGATTGGCCGCCAGTTCTTCAGATAAATTTTGGATTTACCCTCCTTTGGTATACAAGTAATGAGTTCCTGTCTTTGAGTGATAGAAAACTTTCCATATTCTAAAGCCTCATTTAAACATCTTACCAGTGGTATCTTAATATCATTCCAAAAAAAATTGTAAAATTCAACAGTGAATCCATCTATACCAGGTGATTTTGAATTCTTCATATGTTTAAGAGAAGACAAACATTCCTGCATTGTTAAAGGTCCCTCACAGGAACCCACCTCTTCCTCATTAGGTTTTGTAATAAAAGGATTATCATGTTGCAGAAATGTGTACCTGTGAGTTTCAAGAAACAATGGATTAGAACTAGTATATAATTTTTTTATAAAACTGTTTTTGTTCATTTCTTATAATACTGGGATCTGTTATCTCAGTCTCGTCCACCAAAATAAGTTTGGGAATAATTTTTTCTGTGTAATGTTTTTTTTCCAAATTACAAAAATAGTTACTTCCCTTTTCCCCCTCTACTTGCAATCTTGCCTAAGCTCTTGTTGTTATCCCTGTGACATTTTTCCCCTCAATATTTTTAATTCTAGTTCCATCTCTTCCCTTTCTTGGTATACTGATGGCAAGTTATTCTCCAAAGGTTTTTTTTATCTAATAATGATGTCTTATATAGTAATTCTTTTTCTTTTTTATTTCCTTCCTTTTTCTGAAATGACAAAAATGAGAATGCAGATCCACGGACTTTCATCTTGATCATATCCCATTAAAGCTGATAGCTTATATTAAACTCTTTATATCCTCTGTATCAATATCCATAGATGGATCAGACTCATATTCTTCAATGACAGTTTTGATGTCCCCGTTTACTTTCTCAATAAATTCAGTTTCCCTCAAAAGACTGTTATTAAATTTCCATGTACCCTTCCCTCTTATCTGGCTCGAAAATCTTAAATTAATCAATACAGGAGAATGATCCGATCTATAACTAATCCCTATATCTGATGAAATTACAAATGCTTCTATATCAGAGGTAATCATGAAGTAGTCCAAACGACTTTGTTTGTGATTTGGACCCCGCCATGAGTACCTCGTATCAAAAGGGTGCTGTTGGCGCCATATATCCAATAAATCTAGTTCATGCATTACCTTATGAATCTTGGCTTTTGACTGGGGGTTATTTTCACTTCTATAATGTAATGTGTCCATGTCATAATCTTGAACAACATTCAAATCTCCCACCACTACAATTGACGAATTGCAACAGTGGGATATTTTGTGTTTTCTGTTCTCAAAAAAGACTGGTTCATCATTATTCGGTCCACATATAGCTGCCAAAGTTATACGGTAGTCCTGAATGGTGATATCTAGTATAATAAAATTACCCAACAGGTCTATAATTTCCTCATGGATCTTGAATTCGAAAGTATTCTTAAAAAAAATAGCTCCCCATCTACTTTTACTAGAATAAGAACTAAATTTTCCCACATATCCTCATTCATGAAGCCATTGTTTTTCTTTTTCAGATGTGCTATGGGTGCCTACTAATATAGTTATATCATATAAGTCCTTATATTTTGTAAATATATCAATTCTTTTAACTGTTTCAGATAAAACCTGCAGTTTACACTACCAATAGTTATAGTCGACATAATATAATAAAGTGGTTAAACAAGAGTAGCATAAATAATATAAATATCTACAAGCACAATATATCAAAGCAGCATAAACAAAACATACACATGTCCATCTATATGTAAAAGTTGTTTCACAATGTATCAATTTTTTACTTAAGGTTACCCCCAACACCCAAGGAATTTTTGTCGAAAGCACCTTACTATAAATAGAATGAGCAAGTAATTTTGTGATAAAGTAGAAATAAAAATATATCAAAAAGGTTCTATGAATCTCCAATTTTTTGTACTTCAATTTGCACGTTTTAAATTTTAAATTTGTGTATCGTTTGTATAAAGTAGAAGACAGACAAAAGAAGATGAATTAATATTAATAATAAAAAGGAAAATTGAAGAAAAAAGAAAGTAACGAAAAAGAAACAACAACAATAAAAAAACAACACAGAATATTTACCAACACATAAACTTGTATTCATACAATGTAAACAAAACACATACAAATACATATACACACATGCACCCCCATATACATTTACTAATACACGAACCGACATCTATATATATCAATATTGCTGACCCCATCTAAACTGTACATGCAACTCTCCAATTTTAGTGTTATTTATTGAGAATGAAAACTGGCACTTTAACATTTATTGTTTTATAATAAAATACTTTCAAGTTTGAAAAGGATAGCAGAAAGCAGAATTTTCAAGCAAGAATGTTTTTTTTGCATGAATAAAATTATCAGCTAGTGTTCGCATTTTTTTATTTTTTATTTTGATTATCGTTGATATATTGTATGCCGTAGAAAATTAATACCCCCTCCACCGTTTTTTTTAATTTTGTACAAATATGATTTGAGCTCTACCTTTGTATATTTCCGGAATATATTCATTTAGGTACGATTAATAAGATAAAGTTTAGAAAACAAAAAACATAAATATTTGCGACAATAGCTTCAAACAAACAAAACTATCTATTAGTTGAAGTTGCCTTGGTGTTATTACATGATTTAAAAAAAAAAACCATTATGTAATGAAACGGGTACATTTGGCACATGCAAGTATTTGAGACATATGAACTAGCCAGATGTCGCGATGTATGAACACCATTTAGATTTTTTGTGTTTTAAAGTTTCACTTATTCAAAAGTAGTGTGATAGCCTTATTCATTTGAACGTAAGTACTATGGGTTTAAATATTGTCGTGGGTCACATTTTTCGTGGATTAAGGTATGTTTGCTTTTTCGTTGCTTTTTGATTTGGTGGTTTTGCCAAAGTATACATAAAACCGTATAGAAAGTTTGTAATGAGTTGAACATTTCAATTCGTGTTTTCTTGTACCCACAAAATCTAACGAATATATTATAATGAATCCACAGTAACTGAAATGACTATACGGTGAAACAAAAACACACTAATATCAAATGTTCAACTGTTTTGACATTGACGATGTGTTCTTATAACTAGATTTAATTTCAATTTTAGAATACGAGCTTTAATGAAAATCAAGGCATCAAGGACCGGTACTGATAACGCTCACTGTGTAGGAATAACTGATAGAATTGAGATGCAACCTGTAATTCGAGGTACGAAATTAAAAATTGACCAAAAGAATACTGCTAATTGTTTCTTCAATATAGGCAAGAATTGCAATGGTAGCTTTGAATTTTGGGAAAAACAACAAAAGTCCAAAATTACAGGCAACACCATGACTTAACTAGACACGAAAAACAACAATCACACAACGTTACATTGAAAACTAAGGATTCAGATACATTCACCCCTAAAATAACGGAAATGTACAAATTAGATGTTGGATGTGTACTGATTGATATTTTAGTCTTGAATACATGATGTTTTTATTAGTTGTCATTGGCTTTGAACTAACTGTCAGTTACTGCATGTACTCTGATATCCGTACTTTGTGTTTTTTTTTTGTGCTAGGGATTAGGGATAGATATATACCATGCGTCCTGTCTGTGTTTTTGTTTGATGATTTTCTTTGTATTGTTCTGATGAGTTTGGCCTATTTTAATTGATTTTTATATTTTGTTATTTGTTTTGCTGTTACGCAACATTTCCAGCTTGTTAAGGGGAGGGAATGAGCGATCAGAAACATGTTTAACCCCGCCAAATTATGTATGTGCCTTACCCAAGTCAGGAGCCTGTAGTTCAGTGATTGTAATTGGTTTATGTCTGTCATATTTGGTTTTCGTGAATTATGTTGTTATAATTTAGGCCGTAGTTTTTTTTCATTTTTTATTGTTTGATATTTGTCATGTCGGGGCCTTTTACATCCGACTATACGGTGTGTCTGATTGTTGAATGCCCTACGGTTGCCTATAATTGCTTATTTCAACTGAATTTTAACTTATTTGGATTACTGCCTCATTGGCAATCATACCACATCTCCATATTTTCATAGAGGTGCTTCGACATTACCTGCTCATGGTGAACTAAAGTCAACTATACTCAATTTACTGTGAATTGACGTCAAATGTAACGGATGTTTTAGAGTAAAATAACACAAAGCATCTGTATTCCAAGTAATTACATGTTTACAATATACAGATACAGATAATTGACTTCTTAATGTTAACAAAAGTTCATAAAAAATCAATAACTTTACTTAAGAGAGAATGAAAATATATTTGAAAAATGTACTTGATTCGTGGTGGTGTACTCTTTATTCCTATAAGTTTGCTTTGGATTATGTAATTACTTAATTTTCAAAATAATAAACATATTCTTTTTTTATTGTTATTATTCAAGTACGATAAAAGCAGTGATTTTACTAATTGCAGAAAATATCGAAGACGAACATGTTTACGTATCTACTAAAACAGAGAACTTAACTCCCTCTGCGAATGGTGCTTGTGGAATTTCCTTTGAATTTTCAGAACAAGATTCCCAACTTGATAAAACAGAAACGAATTTTTATGAAATTGACCGTAAGAAAAATGTGAAAAGGAATACTTCACCGAATAAAACAAAATTACATGTTGATGTAAATCTCTGTGAAGAAAGTATGAAACTGAAATACTCACCGCCTTATGCAGAAAATCATTTTTATGAAAATGACGGCCAAGAAAATGTGAAACATGAATTTTCACATAATACAACAAACGCTCATTCTTATGAAAATGACGGTCAAGAAAATGTGAAACTTAAATTTTCACCTGATACAGCAGAAACTCATTTTTATGAAAATGACAGTGCTGAAAATGTGCTACTTACGTCTTATACAGATAAAAGAGAAACTCATTTCTATGAAAATGACGGCCAAGAAAATGTGAAACTGAATTTTTTCCCGGATAATACAGAAAATATCTGTAATGAAAATATAGAATTGAATTACGCACTAGATAATCCAGAAACTAATTTTTATGAAAATGACAGTGCGGAAAACGTGCTCTCTTCGTCTACTACATATCAAGTAGAAACCAATATTTATGAGAATGACCGTGCGGAAAATTTGCTCCTTTCTTCTGCAACAGATAAAGCAGAAAATCAATTTTATGAAAATGTCCGTGCGGAAAATGTGCCCCATTCTTCTTCTACAGATAAATCAGAAACTCATTTTGATGAAATTGACGTTGATGAAAATGAGAAACTTAATTATTTTAAGGATGCAACAGAAATTCAATTTTATGAAAATGTCTGTGAAGAAAATGTGACACTCACTTCTCCGGATAACACAGATATTCATTGTTAAGAAAATAACAGTGAGGAAAATGTACAACTGAACTACGTTGAGATCGATTTCACCAAAGCAGATAACGATTTTGACCGGTCAAATATTAACCTACCACAGAATGAGGCAGGAAACATAATCTTGTCATTAAAACAATAGAATAAAGTTATGACTAAAGTTAATCGTTGTCAGCTGTTTATGGTAAGGGATACCATCACCGCGACAACATTTTCATTCTTCTATGGTTTACATTGCGTTTTGTAATAAGGTTTCTTTAAATGTTGTCTTAAGCGTTATAACTTATGTTTTTTGAATGCATTATAAGACAAATACTGCAATTTCCAACATATTTCTCATTTTATGACTTACCTACACTATTTGTTTTGGTATAAAAAACACGAAGTTTTCGTTTAAATTGTTTAACCTTTGTCATTTCAGGGCACTTTATACCTTGCTTTGTCTATTGGTTTTGCTCATTGTAAAAGGACATGTCGTTTGTTGATGTGGTTCATAAGTGTTTCTCGTTTCCCGTATTAAATATATATTAGACCGTTAGTTTTCCTGTTTGAATTGTATTACACAGTCATTTTGGACCCTTTATAGCTTGATGTTCGGTTTTGAGCCAAAACTCCGTGTTGAAGGCCTAACGTTGAACTATAATTATTTACCTACGTATTGTGACTTGGATGGAGAGTTGTATTATTGGCACTCATACCACATCTTCTTTTTCATGTGGTATAATTGCAAATGAGCCAACTCTCTAACAGAGATCAGATGACATAGAAGTTACACGTAGCTACCGTGCGGAGAGCAGATACCATTGAAGTTTCTTATGTTGTACTGTTAATTTACTGTCCCAGGTCAGGGGACGTTTGGCGCCCCTTCAAACTAGGTTAACCCCACTACATTATGTATATGCCTGTCCCATGTTAGGAGCCTTTACTTCAGTGGTTGTCGTTTGTGGCTGAATATCATGTTTGTTTTTCGCTAATTATTTTGCATATAAATCAGGCTGCTTATTTTCCCGTTTGAATTGTTATACATTTGTCATTCCGTGGCCTTTTATCATCGGTGACTTATCGTTGTTACTTTATGTGTCATTTGAACTCTTATGGAGAGTTATCTCATTGGCAATTATACCCCATCTTCTTATTTTTTTAAGAATAGAAATATAATGGAGTACATTATGACATGACAACTCAATAACAAAGATCAATGATGCTCACAAAAACCTACTGTTGTCAATCGAAATTCAAGTAGGAATTTAAGAAAACACCAAAAGCAAAAGCAACAACTAGTAAAGTAATAAACATGATAGTTCTGAATTTGATTCAAAAAGATAAAATGTAAGTTTGTTTGTAGTCGTTGTGTCCAATTGTTTATTCAAGGAAGTAAAAGGATGTTAGAAGACATAAAATTTTGCTCAGTGTTAAGGGGAAAATCAATGTATCAAATTATTTAAATAAACCATCTAATATGTTTAAAAAAAATGAAATAATAGACAACAGTGTACTTAGTACTTTTTCATTCAGTTTGACCGATCATTATTTCAATAAGTTATTCTAGTGCATTTATCTGGTGACTAATGTTTTAATGTCAAAGACAAAACAATACCTACTTCAGAACAAAATATTTCATTTCCTATTTTTATAGGAAAGGGTTTAAACAATATATTAAACTGACCTCATTGACAATTCAAAAACAATACGTTTAGTACAATTTCCCTAGTGACAAATAGCGGGAAGTATTTGTAAACATGTTGTTTTGATTATGCAAGGAAACGTGGGTTATACGTCTGTGATTAAGGTTACAGTGCCATCAAACGTGCAATATATATACGTATTCTTGGATGTTCCTGCAATTCTGTTGAGAATGAAAGTTGTAAAGCCGTTATCAAGTTGCATCATAATTTAGGAATCATTAAAAACAAATACAACCCGTATTGCGTAATATGGCTTAGGCTTACTATACTTTGGGTTACAAAAATTTAAGTATTTCGAAGTTTGCGCATTTGATAAATATTTAATTTTTCGAAAATGAACATAGCAATGATGATTCATGCACTGGAGTGGTGATTCCTTCAGGACATTTTATGTTAACATAGGCATTGAACTAGTGATAAAAAAAAACTCATCAAAGATGCGAAAACAATCATCAATATAAAAATAAGATATGGTTTGATTGCCATTGAGAATACTCTCAAGCAGAGACCAAATGACATAGAGATAGAAAACTATAGGTCACCGTACGACATTCAACAATGAGCAACCGCTATACCACATAAACAGCTAAAAATGCCCCCAAAATACAAAGGTACAACAATTTAAGCGATAATACTTACGGCCTGATTTGGGTACAAAACAATGAACGAAAAACAATCATGATATACAGCAACAATCGACAACCACTTAATTACAGGCTCTTTCATAATGTGACGATGTTAAACATGTTTGGTGGCCCAACCCTCACCTCATCTGGAGAAGTAAGTTTAACACTTGTCGCATGTTTCGTAAACATAAGAGTCGTCAGTGGAACTCGAATGAAATCCAAATCAATAAAGAAGCTGAAGAGCATTGGAAAAAAAAAAAAACGAAATTCATATTTTTTTTATCATATACATGTATAGAGGGGCGCATATTTATGAAAAACAATTGGAGATATTGACTTCGTCCCCAGTAATTGTTTTACTCATATATTTAATGGTGAAAATGGTTTTTTATTTTTCATCAAGATTTTAGGAAAACTTCATTGATTTACATTTGATAAATGTCTTTAAATTTAAAATATAAATCGGCGGAACCCATTCCAATTTTGGTACAAAATATGTGATGACGTATCTTTATGTCTGAAATCAATACAAATCTTCATTAATAATTAAATGTCAATATATAGTGTACGTGGTTGTGATGTAGGACATCATTACTCTTAATAAAACGAGCCAAATTTCCAAATGACAAATAATAAATGTATGTGACGGTACGGTACTTTAAATGAAGTTTCATTGCAGCACTCTCCAGAATACAATTAATGTTTTTATTGTAATATTGCGAGATCCCTCAACTTTCTTTAAAAGAACTTTAGGTCCAGAAAACAGACAATTTGTGGAAAAAGAAAATTAGCAAAAATACCCAACTCCGAGGAAAAGTAAAAACGGAAAGTCCCTAATCAAATGGCAATATCAAAAGTTCAAACACATCAAACGAAAAGATAACAACTGTCATATTCCTGAATTGGTACATGCATTTTCTCATGTAGAAAATGGTAGATTAAACCTGATTTTATGGTAGTTTTGTATGACAATAGCATAGAACTTTATAATATTGACAACGATGTGTGAACAAATTAAAGAGAAATAATAGGTGAAAAATAGGGGTACAGCAGTCAACATTGTGTTATAATCTTAATCGCTATTAAAACAAACTATTATGTAACAAAGAAACACAAAAAGCCATATAGACAAAGCACATTAACAAAAATGAAAGACAAGAATACAAAAATTTACGATAGCACAACAACACAATGACGGGATATATAAGTATGTCATATCTGATCTGTTTATTGTTCTGAAACACATTTAATGCGCACATAATGTGATATACATTGTTTTCTCAGAAGTTTTGAAATCATACCTTTTCCCCTATATATAAATCCTAAATTCAAAAATCTTATATAAAATGATTCAATTGGTCACCCATTTATACTTTCATTGATAAATGTATGGACCGATTTTAAGATATTGTCATAAATTGCTGCTGATGCTAGATAATGTTCCCTATAAACAATCTAATATACTATTATGAAATGTATAAATATAAAAACAATACATATGACTTTTAAATTCAAGACCAACGATAATGTGGTTGATGAAAATAATATTAAGAGGCGAAAGATACTAGAGGGACATTCAAACTCATAAGTCGAAAATGAACTGACAATGCCATGGCTAAAAAAGAAAAAAAATACAAACAATAGTACACAAAACACAGCATAGAAAACTAAAATTTGAGTAACACGAACCCGATCTCAAAATGGGGGTAGTCTCAGGTGCTCTGGAAGGGTAAGCAGATCCTACTCCACAAGTTGTACCCGTTGCTCATGTTAGTACAAACACGGCTTTTATTATCATTCCCCGCGGTAATTTTCATACTGCAAAATATCCCTTCATCGCTCGCAGGGGTTGTTTTTTTCTTTCTTGAAATGAACTTCCTATAGATCGTTAAACATCTTATTTATATATATATATATGAAATATACGACGTTACAATCACGAAAAGAGGACAATGTACTAGGAGAGGTCAATTATTGCGACGTATGAATATTTTCAGGAATGACAAAAAAAATCATGAATGAACGTTAAATAATAATAAGTCCATCTTTCAGTTATATGTCTAGTGGAACAACTCAAACAGTAATAAATAACAACATTATAACAAAAGCCCTCCTTTAATTAGAAATGGTCAGTTTGATAAATCTATTGTTTAAAATTTTCACAACTGACTAATTATTCAGAAAAGGTACTGTCTTTGCTGGACCCTTCCAATAGTACTGCAGTAAATGGACGTAGGAACTGTATTCATCAGATACATTTGTATAATACTGACTTCCGTTAGCGAAATATGTTTTGTTCAATTTATTTGAACGGAAGTCATGAATTGAAAAAGCAGACAATGAATGATTACTTATTTACAAATCATGCAATTAGTGTGTGTTGTCATTAAAAAAGTATAAAAAAGAAAAATATTTCCTGTCTAATTTTCAAATCTCTCAAACAGGAAATTTTTCAAAATGTATAGATAGTTTTCGTCCACAGCTTTTAGAAATGCATCTTAATGTGCATTTATCAGTTGAAAGGTAATTCTTTTAAATTTATTTAATCATACCTCATTTATTTGTCTGCCTCCTTTGTAAAATGAAAAATATTTTGAAATTTATTTTTCATAGACTGATGTCAAGTTAAAAAAAATCCAGTGACGAGACTTTTGTACTTTGTTATAACATGCTTATAGTGCGTATCATTGTGGTCAAAGTACCGTTGCGAAAACAAATGTTTGAATTTGTAAATAAAAAAAGGTATAACCTGAGTTACCCCTGTAGCAATTTGTTTTTTAACTGCAAATAATTTATGAAATGAAATTTAGAAGGAACAAAATATAAATGAATTTTTTTAGGTTGATTCTTGTCA